TGAAATTTCAAATAAACATGGCCTGAGGAGGGTGTGTTAATCCTCAGCTCAGCTCGAAGGAGGAAACAAGTCCTCTTGGTTTGCAGACTAGGAAGCCAGGCCAGTCTCCCACTATGACCACACCTATCAGAGAAGTGGAAGGGGGTCCTCTGCCTGCCTCTAGGCCCTTCCCTCCCGTGTTGGCCCCCCGCAGACACAGGAGACCAGCTGCAACACCCACTGCCGTGGAGCTCACAGCTGAGTGGGGGCAGAGCTGGCACGGACCTTGGAACTATCCAGTCCAATACCCCCACCTTACAGATGGGAAAACTGAGGCCCTGGGAGGCTGAGCAGCAAGGAGATGAAGAGCAGGAGCTCATATCTGTATCCAGCATCAGCAACCCCCACAGAAAGGAGGCAGAAAAAGACCGCTGGGTGGGGGGCCCAGGGGTCTGGCACTGGCAGCCCCTGGGGTGAGGGGCGGGGAATCAGCCACCCCCCCGTGAGGGCCCCACGCGTTCTGCCAGGCACCTCTGGCGCCAAGCACACAGGAGGAGTCCAGCCTGGCCAAGGAACTCAACGGACGTCAGGACCTTCGCCAGACTCCTGACTTCACCCTTCACCCCCCACCCCTGCGCCAGCTTTGATTGAGCCCCTACTGTGAGTATAGCTGGGCCCCACACTGGGCAGTGCGAGAGACACGCCTGCTCTCAGGAGCCCGCAGTGGAGAGGGACGGGGTTCGAGGGGTCCTGCCCCTGATGGACACACAGGAGGCCAGCATCGGAAGGGACTCCTAGCCTGAAAGATGGAGGAGGGCTGCTGGGGCATCTTGGGCAATGCATTCGGAAGGAAGGGAAGATCCCTGGGGACAGCGAGACCAAGGGTTGCCAATCTGGAGAAGAGCACGGCCAAGGCCCTGAGTCCACGGCGGGCGGGGACAAATGGGCTTGCCGCCTGGAGGGAGTGGGCTGAAGAGCCATCTGAGTGAGTTGGGTGGACGTGAGCAGGCTGAGGCTGCGGAACCCAACCCGAAAACCGGAAGAGCTACCCGCAATGGGGCTGCCAAATCCATCCTCCACGCAGCCTGGGAGGGGGAGCAAGGCCGCAGGCAGCTCTGTGCATGCGTAGCTCCTGGCGGGGGGGGGGGGGGGGGGGGGGGGGGGGGGTGGAAATGAGCACATGCGCATGCGCGTATGTTGATCCATGCGAATGCACGCGTGTATGCAAGTGGCTGTGTGCAGCCCTGTGCATGTGCGTATATGCACATGCATGGGTGGGATACACATATATGCACACATGAAGTGCACACACATTTATGCACATGTGTGTATAGAACACACGTGCATTCTATGTGGGTGTATGGATATTTGTCTACGAACATGTGTGTGGATGTGTCTGCACGAATGTGTGTGTGCAGCATGTGAATACACAAGTGTGTTCACGGATGCCTGCTTGTGGAAGCACTCATGTGCGTGTGTGTGCACATGGCTATGCACACGAATGTCCTGTACAATTTACACAGCTGTGTGTGTGCATGTGTATGCAGCATGCACGGATATGCGTCGGTGTGTACGTGGTTACACCAGCGTAGGCGTGCCCAAAAATGTGTGCGTGTGATTATGTGTACGCACTCACACATGGATATGCGTGTGCACATCTGTGTGTGTGCACACATACCCCACGTGCAGGGAAGCAGTTAAGGGAGATAAGCTCCCATCCACCAAGACAGAGGCTGCTTGTGGAGCACAAGAGGACAACATGCCAGGTGTGAGCCCAGATTCCATCTCAGCACCCAGGGCCTAGGACCCAGTGTCCCGTGGCTGTATGGCCCTGGCTGGACCAACCCTTCCCTTCCAGTCCCACTCATCACAGGTTGGAGGAAGGGCAACTCGGCCTTGGCAGCCCCAAGACGCTTCCCAGCTATGTGATTTTCCTTCTAAGAGGTCCCACAGCTCTCCCCAGCGCCCTCACCCCCACCCCCTCTACCAACGCAGCCTGAATCCTTACGACACCCTCTCTGTCATCCTCCGGGTGCTGCCAAGCCCAGGCCTGCCCACCAGCGACTCACGGGGACAGGCGGCCTTCCAGGCACATGCTGTTTTGCTTGTTACAGGATAATCAGGAGCCGTTTGTCAAGCCTTATTGTCAATGTCTGGGGTAAGAGGCCTCTTCAGCTCTTGGTTGAGCAGCCGCAATCCCTGGGGCCTCCCTCCCTCACACACAGGCAGGTCTCAGTTCGGTGCAGCCCCAAAGCCCAGCCAAGGGCTTCTCAACCCCGAGGATTCTTTAGGGGACCCAGCTCTCCTCTCTCTCCCCAAGTTCCTGACCCACAGGAGAGGCGCTTCTCCTGCCTCCTCCTGGGTTATGCCAGGGAGATGCTGCTGGCGGTCTTGAGGTCAAAAGGCCAGCCGGGCGTCCCCAGGGGCCTGAGTCACTGGGCCAGCCAGGCACTCCGGATGTCCCAGCCTGGCCTGGAGAGCCACTTCCTGGGCAGTGGGAAGTCCTGCCTGCTTCAGGCCCCAGGTGCTCTGTGTCCTTTTCCCTCCAAATTCTTTGTACTCAGCTGCCCTTAAGTATGAATGTGTGAGATGTCTAGGGCAGCCAGGACCCTGGGTGTCCCAAGACCCCCAGGCATCCCCCAAAGTGCTCCTCACAAGATAAGAACCCCCAGGGTCTGCAGGAGGCCCAAGTGACTGGTCAGCTGCTGGGGAGGGAGCTCCCCCTAACCTACATCTGACCCCTCCCATTTCCTTTTTTTGGCTCCTCCAGGGCAAAGCCCCTTCCCTAACCCCAGGGAGCACAATCCACAGGGACTTCTCACTTCCTAATGACTTTTCCTCCATTCTCCAAATGCAGCTCAGATGGCACCTCCTCCAGGAAGTCTTCCTTGACAACTCCACTCCCAGCCTAGGAATGAGCTCCAGGGCACTGAGGGCATTCACTTCAGCATGGCAGTGTGGGGCACCCACCATCCCAGAGGGCAAAACGCCTGTACAGACAAGGAGAGGTGCATGCCAACTGCCGAGGTTGCGAACATGTGTGGGACCTCCCTGCAAGGTGCTCCAGGCCTCCCAGACCAGGGGGCCCTTCCACCTTCCACAGGGATACTGGCTTCCTACCTTCTCTGGGCCATGTGCCTCTCACATGCGGTCATGGATTTGCGGCCAAAAAGCGCCTAAAAGCCCAGGGCTGGCTCTGGTCTTCCTCAGGCAGTCCCACCCTCCAGAATTTCTGATTGCTGGCCTCACCCTGGCCTAACCCCTCCTGCTCCCTGTAAGGGTGCTAAGGAGGATGCTGGGGCTCCCAGTGGGCATCTCTGCTAAGATGCCAGCACTCTCCTACATAAGACCCTTTGAGCCTCGGGGCTCAGAGAAAAGAGAAGCAGCCCCAAAGCCATGCACATTTCTAGACACCACTAAGGGGGATGCTCCAATCCTTCCCCATGACACCTTCATAGAACCCACAGGCGTCCCATCCCGTGACCCACAGCCGCAGGAATGACCCCTACCCTCCCATCTGAGGCTACAGGGAGAGCTGCTGGCCTGCCTGCGCGCTTTTCTGGACTGCTGGGAGGAAAGGCCCTCCCCTCCTCCTAGCAAGAAATGCCAGGCCTGGGATCTCCAACCTCCTCCCCAAGGTCTGTCTCCCACCAACCTTGAGCTGCCTGGAGGTGGGAACCACAGCTCGCGCGCGACGGGAAACGGGAACCGGCAATGCGCATTCATTGAATGAATGCGGAGAGACACAAGGCTGGGGTAAGCCGAGGGTAAGGGAGGTACCCCAACAGCTTGCCCCTAAGCCCGCAGTAATGAGGTACCCACGCAAACCCGCCCGTCATCCGGGAAATTCATTCTGGGTGTTTGTCAGGGGCGGTGATTTTGAACATCCCCCCACCCTTTAAAAGCAGGGCCCCGGAGCACGAGAATTAAACTTCAATAATTGCCAACATGGATGCAGCGCCTGGGAGCCTGCCCAGGCCTTCCACTGGCACCGCCGTCATGATTCATGCTCCAGCAGCGCCTGGAAGTGGGCAGAGAAGGCAGCTGAGGCCGGGGGCAGGGAAGTGGTTCTGCCCGGTTAACACCGACCAGAGATGGACCAGAGATCGGAGCCCGACCCGCACTCGGCAGGACCCCTCCGCACCCAGGCGGCGTCGCGTCCTCCGCCAGGCTGCGAGTGGCTGGCTCTCCAATCAGGCCGCGGACCCCGAGCCGACCGGTGCTGCGCGCGAGTGTGCGCGCCCGCGTGTGCGTGCGCGTGTGCCCGGGGGAGGCTCGGAGACTCTTGTCTTAGAAAGAGCAGGTTTCTGGAACTCACCGCCCAGGCCGGCCGGCACTCAACCCCGTCCCGCAGACTGCAATCGGCCCTGGAGGGGGCGCCCTCGCCGTGCGCGCGCCCCTCACGCCACCGCCCCGGACTCCTCCCCGGCGCCGCGCGGGCAGGTTCGCCGAGGCGGCCGCGGGCTCCGGCTCCCGGGCCCGCTCCCCCCCATCCCGGCGCCGGATGCGAACAGCGCAGGCCGCCCCCGCCCGCCCGCGCCCCGGCGGTGAGT